AAGAATTACTATAGAGATGAAGAAAGAGATAATTGATAAGTATGAAAGTGGAGTGCGTATAGCCGACCTAGTCAAGCTGTACAAGAAACCCCAATCAACCATCGCTACTATTGTGGGCACCAGAAAGACAATCAAGGAAGCTGTTCTTGCCAAAGGTTCAACTGTGTTTTCGAAACAAAGATCGCAATTGATGGAAGATGTTGAGAGACTCTTTTTGGTGTGGATAAATGAAAAACAGATAGCAGGAGATAGCGTCTCTCAAGCGATCATATGTGAAAAGGCTAGGAAGTTGCATGACGATTTAATTAAAAAAATGCCTGCAACTAGTGATGATGTGAGTGAATTTAAGGCCAGCAAAGATTGGTTTGAGAGATTTAAGAAGCGTAGTGGCATCCATAGTGTGATAAGGCATGGTGAGGCTGCCAGTTCGGACCACAAAGCGGCTGAAAAATATGTGCAGGAATTCAAGGAGTACATAGAAACTGAAGGACTGAAACCTGAACAAGTGTTTAATTGTGATGAAACAGGCCTGTTCTGGAAGAAAATGCCAAGCAGGACCTACATTACTCAGGAGGAAAAGGCACTCCCAGGACATAAGCCTATGAAAGACAGGCTTACTTTGTTGATGTGTGCCAATGCTACTGGTGATTGCAAAGTGAAGCCTTTATTAGTGTATCACTCTGAAACTCCCAGAGCGTTCAGGCAAAAGAATGTCCTCAAGGATAATTTGTGTGTGCTGTGGAGGGCAAACAGTAAGGCATGGGTCACTAGGGAATTTTTCTATAACTGGTTACACCATGCATTTGCCCCCAATGTGAAAAATTACCTAACTGAAAAGAAATTAGAACTTAAGTGCCTCCTGGTGTTAGACAATGCCCCTGGTCATCCTACAGACGTGGCAGAGCGACTTTATGGGGACATGAGCTTCATTAAGGTGAAGTTTTTGCCTCCTAATACCACTCCTCTCCTGCAGCCCATGGACCAGCAGGTTATTTCCAACTTCAAGAAACTGTACACAAAAGCTCTGTTTGAAAGGTGCTTTGTAATGACCTCAGAAACTCAACTGACTCTAAGAGAGTTTTGGAGAGATCACTTTAATATCCTCAATTGTGTAAACCTTATAGGTAAGGCTTGGGAGGAAGTGACAAAGAGGACCTTGAACTCTGCTTGGAAGAAACTGTGGCCAGAATGTGTAGACAAAAGGGATTTTGAAGGGTTTGAGGCTAACCCTGAGAATCCTGTGCCAGTTGAGGAATCCATTGTGGCATTGGGAAAGTCCTTGGGGTTGGAGGTTAGTGGGGAGGATGTGGAAGAGTTGGTGGAGGAGGACAATGAAGAACTAACCACTGATGAGCTGCTAGATCAACTTCAACAGCAAGAGGCCACACCTGAGGAAATTGCTTCGGAGGAGGGGAGAGAGAAATTGAAGAAGTTGCCTACTTCAAAGATTAAGGAAATCTGTGCAAAGTGGCTTGAAGTGCAAACCTTCATGGATGAAAATCACCCTCACACAGCTATTGCAAGCCGTGCTGGTGATTATTACACTGACAATGTTGTGAAACACTTTAGGCAAGTCATAAAGGAACGAGAGGTACAGGCCACTATGGACAGATATCTTGTGCGAAAGAAGTCCAGTGACTCTGAAGCTGGCCCTAGTGGCATTAAAAGAAGAAGGGAAGTAACCCCAGAAAAGGACTTACTACCTCAAGTCCTAATGGAAGGGGATTCCCCTTCTAAACACTAACACACTCTCTCCCCTCCTCCCATCCCATCAATCATCACCAGATCTTCAGTAAAAGTAAGTGTCATTTAATTGTGCATGCCTTTTTCAGTTTGTGTGTATTAAAATTAACATTTCATGTGGTAAAAAAAAATTTTTTTCATACTTTTGGGCGTCTTGCACGGATTAATTTTATTTCCATTATTTCTTATGGGGAAAATTCATTCGCATAACGATTATTTCGCATAACGATGAGCCCTCTTGCACGGATTAAAATCGTTAACCGGGGGTCCACTGTATTTGCAATCGTGTCATTACGATTTCTTAAGTCAGATATATTTTGTTCCTGGGAACCTTGTTTTTTTGAATGATAAAGGCCCCCGGGATTGAAACATGTCAAATAATGATGTCCTAATTATATGCACTTGTGTCTTTTCATCCATATTGTCAGTATCATTATACCTTCTGCCTTCATCTTCACCCCACCTTCGGAGTGCAGGCATTGTATTTCCCATTTCCAGGGACTCTTTAAGTCCAACTAACCAGTTTTCCCTGACTCACTAAATGAATGTTACCTTGCTTGCACTCCAACAGCACATCAACCCATAAAAACTACTCATCTCCATTCACTATGATCTGACACACACAAGCCTGCTGGATGTTCAAAACTTCATTTACCTGCTCTCTTCAACCCTTCCTGGGATGAAAACTACCCTGTCTTCCATCCCAGATTTATACACCCTCTTGGTCATTGTATATGCTCTATCTTCTCTAAATGTCAAAACCACCTCAACATTCCCTCCTTAGTCTCCTGAATTATATCTCTTGTAACCCCAATCCATCTACTAATTTCTTTGCTCCAAATTCTGTGCATAATATTGATGCCACATACTTCTCAAAAACATGATATTTGCACTTCCTCCAGCTCCCTCATTGCTACAGGTACTTGAAGCCCATGCCTCAAACCCATTTAATTGTAGGGACCTCTACAGTAATCTGGTACATTTTCTTTTCAGCCTTCATAAATAGCTCTTTCCACAGATATCTCAACTCACCACCAACTTTTTACCCCTCATCCATTCTCTGGTTCACCTTGTGTTTTGTAGACCCTTCTTCTGACATGTCCACTCCCAAGTATTTGAATACAGTCACTCCCAGTACTCCTTCTAATCTGGATATGCTATCTTTCACCACCTACATTTTTTTTAATCTCATCACTTGGCTCTTTTCTATGTTCACTTTTAATTTCTTTCTTTTACATACCCTCCCAAATTCTTCTGCCAACCTCTACAATATAAGTAGTTAGTAGTAACAGTAGCTATAAGAATTAGTAGTAGTAACATTAACAGTGGTAGTAGTAGTATTATTTATTATTATTATTATTATTATTTTTTTTATTATCACACCGGCCGATTCCCACCAAGGCAGGGTGGCCCGAAAAAGAAAAACTTTCACCATCATTCACTCCATCACTGTCTTGCCAGAAGGGTGCTTTACACTACAGTTTTTAAACTGCAACACCCCTCCTTAGTGGGGTGTTAGTAGTAGTAGCAGTAGTAGTTGTAATCTTAGTATTAGCGGAAGTTCTAATAGTTATTAGTAGTTAATAGTAGTAGTAGTTAGTAGTGGTAATTAGTAAAAGTAGTAGTAGTAGTAATTTGTAGTAATGATATTAGTAGTAATATTAGTAATAGCAGTAGTTAGTAGCACTAATAAAAGTTAGTAGTAGCAGTTGATAGTAATATTAGTAGCTAGTAGTTTTGGTCCGTTTATGTATGGAGTTTTTGAACAGGTTCAGTCATACATCTGGAATATCTAAGATATATTTGTTCCTTGTATTGTCTCCATGTGTTCTGTTGCAGCTGTCCAGATAAAATTTAAGCTTAGTGAACAATACTTAGATGAAGGTAAGAAACTCATTGTTGCATTTATGGATTTAGAAAGGGCGTAAGACAGGGTGGCTAAGGAATAATGTGGCAGATGTTGCAAATGTATTGAATAGGTGGTAGGTTAATTAAAGCAGTAAAGAATTTTTATGTGAATAGTGAGGCTAATGTTGGGGTATATAGGAGAGAGGGGGATTATTTCCAGTTATTGTAACCCATAAGTAGGGATGTGTAATGTTACCATAGTTGTTTAACATATATATAGGTTGGGTTGTGAAAGAAGTGAATTCTTGGGTGATACAAAATGAGAGGTCTTACAGTTGCTTTTTTGCCAATGAAACAGTTCTTTCAGGAGATTAGAAAGAGAAGTTTCACAAGTTGGCGGATGAATTTGGGAGGGCATGAAGAAGGAAATTAAAAACTAATGTAAGAATGAGCAAGGTGACAAGGATAACAAAAGATGTAAGCTATGAAATACTTGATATCAGAGTAGAAGAGAGTATGGAGGAAATAATAGTGTTTACATATTTGGGAGTGGACCTGTCAGCAGATGGGTCTATGAAAAATAAGGTGAACGGTAGAATTGATTAGTGCGGGGAAGGGGCAGTGCATTGAGGCAGCTGTGGAGACAAATTTATCCACAGAGGTAAAAAGGGAAATATACCAGATTATGGTGGTACCAGTACTGTTATATGCATGTGAAGTATGGGTTTTAAATGTTATAGCGAGGAGGAGGGTGGAGGTGGTTGAGATATTTCGTTTGAGGGCAATGTGTGTGTGAATATTACACAAAGAATTTGGAACTTGGAGATTAGGAGGTGTATTGTTGCCAAAAGTATTATTCAGAGCTAAGGAAGATTTGTTGAAGTGATTTAGACATTTAGAGAGAATGGAGCAAAATAGGATGATGAGGAGAGCCTATAAATCTGAGGAAGAAAGGGGGGTAGGGCCATCCCAGGAAGGGTTGAAGGGAAGGATAAAGGTGGCTTTGAGTGCTAGGGGCTTGGACGTCCAACAGGCTACTGCAAGCACATTAGATAGGAGTGGCAGAAAATTGTTTTCATTATTTGATGTTCTTTTGAGAGGTAACATTTATGAAGGGATTCAAGCAGACCAATTAATCAGACTTGAAACCTAGAGAAGGGAAGTATTGTGTCCACACTCTGAAGGATAGGTGGGAATGTTGAAGTTCGGAGGGTCATCTGAATCTTGATGCCAACACACTTCTTGCATGACAGTGATTGAATGAGTGATAGTGAAAACGATTCCTCTTTTTTGGGGTCGCCCTAACTCAGTGGGGGATGGATGGTGTTAAAAGAAAAAATGAATTTTATATAAGTATGTATTTCCTGCCAGTATACAATATATTGAAACTTACATTCTCACCTTACTAGCCTACAGACATGCAGCACAAGCACTTGATTTAGATAAGAATAATGCTGAGATTCACAAGTGGTATGCAATACTTGCTGGAGCACGTGGAGAATTTTTGGGCATAACCGAACGAGTCAAAAGTGGTAACATCTTCAAAAAGCACATTGATCATGCACTGGAGCTTAAACCTAAAGATTCTACTTTACACCATCTCCTTGGACGCTTTTGTTTTGAGGTAGGTACAGTATGCATTATGTTTGCTCTTTGAGGGCATATTATTTGTGATAAATCACTTCTGCATTTAAAGAGATATTCAAATTTTGTACACTAAAGATGACTATAAGTTCTTAATTAAAACTATTTGAGTTTGTTGTTTTACTATTTTGGGTAGCTACAATTCAGGGTGGCCCAACTATGGGCCCATGGGCCACAAGTGGCTTACGGCTGATTTTTTTGTGGCCTGCGAGCACTGACATTATTTTTTTGGACACATTGGCCATCTCTCACCGAGGCAGGGTGACCCAAAAAAGAAACGCTCATCATCAATCAACACTTTCACCATCTTTTATACATAATCACTGTCTGTGCAGAGGTGTGCAGATATGGTAGTTTAGATGTCACTCCAAACAGCTAGTATCCCAAACCCATCCTTTAACCCTTAAACTGTCCAAACGTAGATCTACGTTTTTTCAACATTTGAAAGTACGTAAAAAACGAAGATCTTTTTTTTTTTTTTTTTACATTTGAAAGCGTGTAAAAAACTTTAATCTACTTTTTTTTTTATATTTGAAAATATGTAAAAAAACATAGATCTACTTTTGGAGCACTACGGTAGATCTATGTTTGGACAGTTTAAGGGCTAAAGTGCAGGCATTGTACTTCCCACCCTCCATCCTTTCCAAGGGCAACCCCAACCCCTGCTCCCCTCCACTACAGATTTATATCCCCTCCAAGTCCATCTATTTTGCTCCATACTCTTTAAATGATCAAACCACCCCAACAACCCCTCTTCAGTTCTGTGAATAATACTTTTAGTAATTCCACACCTAATTTCCACATTACGAATTCTCTGCATAATATTTACACCACACAGTGCCCTTAGACATGACATCTCTGCTGCCTCGAGTCTCCTCCTTGCTGCAGCATTTGCAACCCATGCTTCACACCCATATAACGGTGTTGGTACTACTATACTCTTCTACATTCTCTTCTTTGCCTCCATGGATAACGTTTTTTGTCTCCACAGATACCTCAATGCACCACCCACCTTTTTTCCTTCATCAATTCTATGGTTAACCTCATCCCTCATAGACCCATCCACTGACAAGTCTACTCCCAAATATCTGAACACATTCACTTCTTCCATACTCCCTTCTTCCAATGTGATATCCAGTTTTTCTTTACCTAACTTGTTGGATACCCTCATCACCTTACTTTTATCTATGTTCACTTTCAGCTTTCTTCCTTTACACACCCTCCCAGACTCATCCACTAACCTTTGCAGCTTCTCTTTAGAATCTCCCAAAAGCATAGTATCATTAGCAAAGAGTAACTGTCTCAACTCCCATTTTGTATTTGATTCCCCTTAATTTAATCTCACTCCTCTATCCAACACCTTACCATTTACTTTTTTTACAAGCTTATCTATAAATATTGAAACCCTTTCAGGGTCCAGAGGCCAAATCTCAGAGTGACAGCCAGGGTCCAAGAATTTTCAAAAAACAATTTTTTTTATTTTGTATTATGAAACAGTAGAGAATATTTTCTGAAGGTAATAAAGCAAAAAGTACAAAATTTGATGGAAAATTGACAAAATTATGCTCTCACAAATTTTGATGCGTCAGCAATATTTATGCATTGGCGATTTTGCCGATGTGTAAATTACATTAGGCGATTTGGCCTAATGTAATTAGGCCAATTACATTATTCCAGTCAACCAAATTCTTAGCAATTTCGCTAGTACACTATTACTTCTACTTTATCGATTAAGCACAAGAATTCGCCCAGTCAACTGTTTAAACTATCCAATAAAGTGATCAGAAATTGGTAATTTAGGCATTTTAACACAAAGTTCAAAATATTCCAATTTCAAAATAGGATCCAGAATAAATAATGCAGGCATTCCTGGCACTAAACTAACATTTCCTCAGTTTATTTACGTTTTCAGGCTTTACAAATAATTCCATTCTGATTTTTTATTTACATAATGAATTTCTATGCAGTCGTGTAATAATTGTATAAATAATATCAGCACATTCGTGAATATATATTAGACCCACAGGCTGACACATATTAGACTTGTGATGACATTTGTTTACTCTTGAACATCGGCAAAAGTTGTACATTTCCGCTACTTTGAGCTCAGTTTCAAGCCATTTTCAGTAATAAAACCAATCAAAATCATCTCTATTTCTGTAATATATATTCCATTCTATCAAATGAGACCAAGAAATCACGAATACAACTGTACAAAACATATGAAAAAATACCGCAAAGTTGCTGTTTTAATAAAAAATTACGATTGCAGTTTTTTTTCTCTCATTATGCACTGTGTGCTGCAGGATTTGTTTTATGTGGTGCACACTTACCACATAGATGTGTTCTCTCATATCTAGGCCCAGATTTACTGCTCACAGGTTATCTGAGTGAGCTGAGCTCATGGCATTGATCTACAGTTCGGGCCCTGGCTTCAAAGCCGTAGATCTATGGGACGGACCCTGAAAGGGTTAAACAACCATGGTGACATTACACATCCCTGTCTAAGGCCTACTTTTACTGGATCTTGGGGCCCTTTATATGTATTGCATTTTTGTATAGGGTGAGATGGACACGAGGGATGTTGAAGAGAGTTTTGCTCCCTGTGTTGTGCCTATGTGTACTGTTATAGCTATCATAGAGAAGTTTGAGAGGAGGGCTTATATTGGAGTTTAGTGTTCTATATAAATAGTAGGCACCATAATATGAGTGCATATTTTGTATGTTAAGTTCAAACTCTTGAAGAGTGGAAGGGTGTGTTGTCTGGTACAGGAATTGGTGATCATCCGCAAAGCGCCATTTTGTTGGGTTATTAATGGTTCAAGGTGATTAGTCATACTAGATCCCCAAGTATGAATACCATAGGTGAGGTAAGGGTAGATTAAAGAGTGGTATAGTGTAAGTAGTGCCTTTTGGGGTACATAGTCCTGTATCTTGGAAAGGATGCCTACTGTTGTGGAGACCTTCTTAGCTATATGTTGGATATGGGTCTGAAATTTAAGGTTGTAGTCAAAATGAAGTCCTAAAAGTTTGCCCTTAATGTGTCTAGTAATGGGGGAGCCATTGATCAGTATGTTAGGTTACATATTTAAAGCTCTGTTTCCAAACAATATGTAGTAGGTTTTGTCTATATTGATTGTGAGCTTGTTGGTTGTTATCCAAGTCGATATTTTTAGTAGCTTGTCGTTAACAATGTCATTAATCATGGTAGAGTTTGAGTGGGAAAAGACATAGGTAGTGTCATCTTTGAATAGAACTAGTTTAAAAAGTTGAAGTGCATTGGGGAGATCATTGATGTATGTACATGAGAAAGACAAGAGGGCCCTGTGGCACTCCATTGGCTACAGACTGAGTAATCAAGGTTACACTGTTTGTGGAGACATACTGGTGTCTGTTGCTAAAATAAGATTTTAGATATTCAAGGGTATGTCCTCTGACCCTGTAATGTTCTAGTTTAACCTTTTGACTGTTTCAGTCGTATATATACGTCTTGCGAGCCACCGTGTTTGACATATATATACAGTGGTCCCCCACTTTTCGTAGTTCCCGGCAATCGTAAAATTCGCCAATCACAGGGGTATTTTTGTATAAACATGGACTCGCTTTTCATAGGTTGACTCGTGAGTCGTAGTTCGTCTGGGATGCGTACGCACGGCGTGGGCCAGGGCGGCAGCCAGTCTGGCATTGTTTACCAGTGAGCGAAGGTCCCCTCGCGTGCTCCAGCAAAATATTTCATAATATTCCATTTATTTTAGTGCTTGCAAGTACTAAATAAGCTACCATGGCTCCAAAGAAAGCTCCTAGTGCCAAGCCTGTGGTAAAGAAGGTGAGAAATACGATTGAATTTAAGAAAACCATCATTGAACAATATGAAAGTGGTACAAGTGTGGCCGAACTGTCCAGGATGTATAAGAAACCCTACACAACCTTATGTTCCATAGTGGCCAAGAAAATGAAATAAAGGATGCTGTTGTTGCAAAGGGAGTAACTATGCTGACAAAATGAGATCACAGTACTGTAAGAGGTTGAGAAGTTCATTATTTGGTGTGGATAAATGAGAAACAATTAGCAGGAGAAGATCTCTTATGACTTCGTTTATTTGTGAAAAGGCCTAGGCAGTTGCATGAAGATTTGGTAAGAAATTGCCTGCAAATGGGATGAAGTGCGTGGACTTAAGGCCAGCAAAGGCTGGTTTGAGAGATTAAGAACTGTCTGGCATACACAGTGTGGTTAGGCATGGTGAGGCTGCCAGTTATATGTGAGCACAATACCTCTCCCCGCCCCCCCCCCCCGCCCCACTGGATCCATATGTGATGAATTCCAGGAGTACATAAACAGGAAGGACTGAAACCTGAAACAAGTGTTCAGTTTAGTGTGACAAAACAAACAGGCACTCTTTTAGGAAGGCACAAATGCCAAAGAAGAGGAACCTTCATTACACAGAGGGAAAAGGCACGATTCGCCAGGACATAAGACTATGAAAGAAACAAGCTAGCAATGATCTGATGTTCTGTGCTAATGCTAGTGGGATTTCAAAGTGAAGCCAGATTCTAGTGTACCATTTCTGAACAAATCCCAGAAAGTGTTCAGGAAAAAACAATGTTATTGGAAAGAGGTAAATTGTGTGTGTTTTGGAAAATCTAATAAGGTTAAGAGGCATTCGGTTCACGTATGGGAAATTTTTGTCGAGTGGTTCAATGAAGTGTTTGGCTCTAGTGTGAAGGAGTATTTCTCCTGGAAAAGAAAATGGATCTCAGTGCGTGCTAGTAATGGGACTGTGTTGTAGCACAAGCTCAAATGCTCATCCTCCAAACTTGGATGACCTAATTTTCGATGGATGTTTGGGTTACTGGCACGCCACCCATCACAGTAAAGTTCTTGCCCGAATTACCACTCCTTCTCCTCCCAACCCATGGAACCAGCAGGTTAATTGCAATCTTGAAAAAAACCTTCTACACAAAAGCAATGTTTCACAGGTTGCTTGACTGTGACAAAGGTACACTCACTGACCCT